GGATTCTTCATATTAGGACTTCATCAAAGAGTCGTTGAGAAAGAGAAGGTTAATTTGATGTTTCTGCTCATCCACTTTTAACATCTTTAATGTAATAAATGCAACGAAACACAAAGTTTTAAGTTACAAGTAATTCTTACTTTTTGTCTAACATTTCCAGGAAACTTACATGTCTGTACATACCCGTGGCTAATGGTAGATCTCTACAGTTGTGTGTGCACATACTCGTTTTTCAGTGGCAAGTCAGATTTTTGTCTTCAGAGCTCAAGCAAATAATTTCAAAGAGCTTCTAGCTTATGAAGAGAGCCTAGTAAAGTGAAAACCAGAACTGTTTCTAATTTTTGACCTTTATTGTGCCTTGTTCCCCTCGTTACCTCTCCTAATCACAAGTAAGGAATGAAAAAGTGAAGAAAACAGCAATACTTAAAAGCTGTGCAACAGAATCATTGGCGATGGCCTCAGATTATGCCATGCATTTCCTAAAATTAACCACCATCACCATACATCTAACTTCCATAGCTTAAATTAGGACCCTCACAGTTGCTGGAAGACAGCAAACTCTGTGAAAATACTTAGGTTGAGCCTTCTCCAAATAGCCAGGTGGAGGAAGGAACCCTGTTCTTGATTGACTGGGGACTGGCTCTTAACTGAGGCCCTGAGTTTAGCTACTTGAAGAAGGTGATGTGAATACCCACCTACATTTTACTCTTGTCTTAAATGGTTCCTGGGCAGACAAGGTCTTTGAACATGGCAGAGACTTACTATCTGGTTAAAGCAAAAAGGTATCTGAATGTCATCCCCCTTCTCCTCCTGCTTCCCTCCTGTCTGGTATGTTATGATCTGTTCAAAACTTCTGGATTCTCTTTACGTGTGCCTGACTAAATGATTCAGAACAAAGGATCAGACCGATTACCAGTACAGCTTCTTCTGAAGCCTGGCTTCTGTCAGGAACCAGCATGGCACCATATCAACTGGATTTTTTAAGATGTCACGTTCCCTTTGGAGGAGAGTGACTAAAAAGCTGGGATTGTGCAATCATGCTTCAGGCATCGCTGAGGACCTCTGTGGCATTGCATCTATGCTCTAGTTTCTTCCTGCTTCAGCGTTAAGACCATACTGCAGGGCTAGGAGCGATGTTCTGCTGGTTGCAGACAGCTAGAAAGTGGACTTCTGTCATGGAAGTCTTTCAGCCACATAAATATCCAAGCAGGTTTCAGCTTTGCTTTTTTCCAGAACTGCTCAGAATTGCTTGCTGGCTTGGCTGATAGATTAGGCTAGAAAGGGGATCAGACACTGGAAACTAAAAGTAGGGGGCTGTTACTCACAGGCCTGTTCTTGTATCTCAGGTGTTGAACCACATTACGCGGTGGGGATTGCTAAGGTCTCTAGCCCTGGTCTGAATGCCAGGTGGGCTATGCTATTATTTACTTTACTCTACAGGCTTAATTTGCTGAAGTGATAATTTAAGGTATTGTAATTCTCAATTCTCCATTCTAGGGTTGGGAGATAGTAATATTGAATAAAGATACCTTTATTTTCTTGATGGAATTTATTTGATGGAAACTTAGTTGAATCTTGATTGTAGTGGTCAGTTGTTTTGCCTTAAGTATGCACCAGACTTCTAAACAGTGGGGTCATTTTTCCAATACTGTGGGTTTAGGACTTCCGTATTGAAAAGTTATGGCCACTTAACTCAGCCTTACCTTTTCTGCTAATCTCGAAGTAATTATCTGGGTTTGCTAAAAAACATCCTTTCTTCTCTCATCCACCTTAATTCTCACAATACCCTACAAGAAGAGGAAAGAAAACAAAATGAAATTCTGCTTTGGAGCTGAAAACGCAACAACCCTCACTCTTCTGCCCCCCCCCCCCCCCCCCTTTTTTTTTTCTTTCCCCCACTTTTTTGAAAACTAGAACTTTTGTTTGTGTTTTCTCAATGTGATTGAGAGCCAGAGTTGCTGGAGGTCAGTTTAAACATTGTCTGTTGGCCTGTTTGATTTGGAATGAGGCAGAGTGGTGTCTCAGAATAAAATTCAGCATGAAACTTGGATGGACTTGGATGGTTAGGATTGAGGAATGGCAGATAGGGCAAACTGAAGTAACTTTTGGTGGTTCTGCCCTACTTCCTAAAAAAAGTGGATTACATCTCAAAGAGGTGCTTAGGATTATCTAAGTTGCAGTTTGTTTCCATCCTTCTAACACATCTCTCTGTGAAATACCCACTGTGCTATAACACAACCCTCTCTTCATGTCCTTAAGCTGTATCTTGTAAACTTTTCTGGAGAGAAATGGTCACATAGAGAATAGACATAAAAGAACCCGGTGGAGACACAAGGTATAGTTTAAGGAATATTGCTGAGTGCCAGTAATGAGGTGACTCTCAGGTTCCTTGTAGAGAGATAATTGTCAGAAAATGTGTCTTGAAAAAAAGGGAAAAACTTCTGCCATAATTGGTGCAGTAAAGCAGGGCAGTGAAGTAGCTTCCTTTTGCCTTCAGAACTTGACATATCAAATCTGATGGAACCACTCTGATGTTACCATGCATGTACTCATTTGATGACAGGGGCCTTTGTTACAGAATAGATGGGCTGCGTGTACCTTTGATGCTTAGCAAGTGCTGTCAGGTTTCAGGAAAAAAATCCACAGCTAATGAAAAAGCCCACCAAAACTCACGAAAAAGCAAACCAAGATAAAGGAGAAAGAAGGAGGGAGGAGGTGAAAAAAGGTGCAAGCTATAAGAGCCGTGAAGGCTCTTGACAAAAAAAGTCTTGTGACCGAGGGTATTGGAGCAATGAAGGCGAGAGTGAAACTTGTGAGATCCCGAATTCCATAGTAGTTAATGTTTTGTGGCACAGGAAGGTCAGTGTTCACAGCAAGAGTTTTGCATTGTGTAAGTGTGTACATGTACTCTGTGGTCTCCCTTGTGTGTGTAATGTTGGTGAACGCTTCGTTTTTAATGAAACTGCATTCTATGTCTCAGTAGTACTAAGTGTTGACTGTGCTATTGCTGTACATACATCAAGATATGCTGGTATAGACATCTGGTTTACATGCATATTTGTATATAACTGTACACCTGGCACGTTTTTTTAGAGCTGTCTACTCCATGCTATTTCTGCTTCACAAGGACCCGTGTTATTCTGGCCACACAAAGACAATTGAACACAGCTCTGTACAGAGATTAAATATAATGTGCTGCTCCATTTGGTTGAAGGGAGTCATGGGTGAGAAACACGTGGCAGTGCTTTCATCTCCCTTGGCATGTGCTGGGCTGAGTTCCTCCACGTTGGTACAGAGACCCAAAATGGTAGCAGCTGCTGCCAACTAATTCCTAAAATAACATTTAGCTCAGTGTTGTGTGTTACCTCCCAGGCTAATGAAGCAGAGCAGTAACTAGTTAACTGAAATAAACAAAAGACAACTTTTTACAATTAGAGATTGACAGCACAAACAGGGAAATGTCCTTGAGCTCCATACAGAGTTTGGGTGTGCTTGTTTTATAGGTTGTTCCTTCCTAGAAAATAAGTGGGAGTGGAAGGGTATTATCCTCTAAAAGATTTCTTCATTGTATAAGACAAACAGCTTTCAAGGACAAGATTCTGTTCTCAAATCTGCAGTTGCTGTTATTCCATAAAATTTTGACCATCTCATACAAATATGTTAGGTTTCTACTGCCAGCTTAAGGAAACAAGTTTCTTCATTAAAGGTTGTTTGTCATTGTTTGCTGAAATAGTTTAAATAGCTTAACGCATACTACCAAGCTACAGTCCCTACAACCTCATTGTTCAGAACTCCAGACTGCAGCTGTTAGAGAAGTTAATATTTTTCAATGAGCTTGATTTCTTTATTTTTTTGTGTGTTTAAGTTATGTTTTTTATCATGAATCATAAAACCCAAACAAACAAAACACTGTTATAACAAAGCAGCTCTTCAACAAGAGCTAACTAATTTCTCCTAACAGGCATGTATCCTGTAGTCCCTAGTTATCACTTCAGATTGTAGTAGACTTTAGACATTCCTGGTTAATGAGAATTCATCACAATGAACTGGTAGGCAAGTGTACCTTGCTTGTTAAAACTGATATCTTTGTTAAAGTGTGCAAGAATTTTAATGCCTTATTTGCTGTGTTTGAATTCTGAACAAATGCTTAGACAGCAGTTTATTACAGACCTTCCTTAAAAAAGCTTGTGATTTGTTGCAGCCTAATTAATAACATTTCTAGAATACATACTTCATGTATGTATGAATCTCTGCACATCTCTGAGCTGTGGATTTTGCTATTCAGAGCTACTTTCTTAGAATCTGTATGTTTTATCTTCATGTTATAAATTGTAATGAGTGTGGAAAATATTTTGAAGATGTTGGAATGTTTTGAGGTTTTGTCAGACCAGTAAGTGCTTTTAAAAGCATTAAATACAAAGCATGTATTGCACTGGGTAGGAATTTATATAGGACTAAAAGGCTATCTGTAAGTGTATGTGTATGTATATGTTTCAGGGAAAAGGGTTTTAACTTTTTTTTGTTCCTTCCATCACTATCATTTGATACCACAGTTCTGCTCCTTACTGATAGTGTTATTGGTTGAGAGTGGAATTACTTCTTGGATTTGTATCAGTGTGAGATCAGAATCTGTCCTTGAGGCTTAAATTGCTATTACTTGAATACATTTATCTCTTTGAGTCAGCTATGGTGAATTTTCTTTTACTGATAGTTGAATGGTGCACTGTTTGTTGAACAGTGTAGCATCCCCATCAATGACAGATGATGACAATGTCATCAGCAGGATAGGAATGTCAGACAATTTTTTGCTGTCGTTGCAAGGCTGTGGTTTCAAATGTAGAAAAACGTGTCGGTAACTCATGTGTGTGGAGGGAAGGGGGAAGTGGAATGTGATACACCTTGGTCATGCAGGTGTACCATGCAGTGTATGAAATAATGATCTTTAAAATGCCCCAGCAGTATTTGTGAGTTGCTCATTATGTAATTTATTTTTACAACAGGTTCCCGTAAAGAATCAGCTCCTCAAGTCCTGCTTCCAGAAGAAGAAAAAATTATTGTAGAAGAAACTAAAAGTAATGGTCAGACTGTTATAGAAGAGAAGTAAGAGAACACTTAATGAATGGTGGATTAAACTAGAAAACTTTGCACTTTTCTTCCTCCTCCCATCTCCCATTATAGTAGTGTGTGTATGATATATTTGTAGTAGGGAACAGAGCAGTTTGGAGTATGCTGCTAGTCCTTTAAGTGCAGTTGGCTTTCATTTAAATTCTTGTAGTCTGGTTTCTTTTTATATGCTATGCAGCTTACTCCTTTTGTGGCAAGAAGTGATATATTTCACTTGTAAATAATTTTTCCAAATGCTGTTGGATTTCAGTATTAAAATAGTGTCATCTGGTTAGTGTATGGCGTCATTCTAATTTTTTGGGGTAAGTTGTATGTTGGAAATGAAATACAGTTCTGTTACAGAAAGCTGTAATTCAGAAACCAGTATAGGTCCATACGTGCTTGAGAGGTGTATCTTGTCACAGGCTGGTAACAGCTCCTTGTCTTACTGCATAGAAATCAGGATAAGAGACCCTTTTTTAACACAAGTTTAAAATTAGCTGTTAGCTGTGGGGTTTTTAATGCATTTCATTTAGTAGTTTTGTTTAATAATAGATTTAGACATGTATTTCTGAAAACTGTTATAACAGATCATCCTCTTTTTTTTTTTTTTTTTTTTTTTTCATTTTAGAAGCCTTGTTGACACAGTATACGCATTAAAGGATGAAGTACAGGAGTTAAGACAGGTTGGTAACTTGCTACAGTTATAGCAACAGGGAGAATGGAAAGATAGAAAGCGTATTATAAAAACAAATATGGCTTGTAAGTTGGTTGACAAGAATGAACTTGAATTTTGGACTAGATTCACATTTAAAAGTAAAACATACCAATTTGACAAAAAGCACCCTTTGTTGTGGTTGTCATCAGTTGTTGGAGCAGCAACCTTTGAGAATAGCATTAAGTATCCTCTCTCTGAGGTGACTTACTAAGCTCAGTTTCATTTATGTTTGGGTGTTCCAGCTTGTGAAATGTTGAAAGCATTAGGCAAATTCAGTTCTGCTGTATCACCAGCAAAGTAAGTTTATAGAAGTAGTATTTGCACTAGAATTTATCATTTCAGTATTACAAATGTCTGGATCTATTTAGGTCTTCCAGTAACCTGAACACCTCTTATCAAGGTTCTTAAAACCTCTAATTTCCAGAGATGAGAGTCCTCTTCAGGATCTTACCACGGCCTTTTTTAAATGAGGGCTTCAGGTTAGCTTAGGGTGCTGCTTTGTCACATGGGGAAATTATGGAGGATCTCACCTGAGTTGCTGCTATGGAAGTTGTAGCTGATGTTTTAAGGTTGTTCTAAGTATCCAAATTAGGGGTTTAAAAATTATCTTTTTCTTGTCAGGACACAGAAACTGTTTAAGCCATGTTAATGCTGCTGTGGATAGTCATTGCTTAATGTGCAGGTGAAAAGGTGTTGAATTATCCTCACTCTCCCATGTGTGAATTTGCTAACTGACCTTAACAGTTCTGACTCAGGAAGATGGATAAAATCTCCTGTGTTAATGTAAAATAGATTTGTATTCAAATTGCTTCAGGTTTTGGGCTATATACATGAATCCAAATTCTTTGCCCATCTGTAAGCATGCCCAGTGTTTCTAAGGGCATCACGTGTGTTCCTTGAAGTAGGACACTTGATGTCTTGAATACCTAACTTCTGCTGTTTTCAACATACAAAGCATGTGTATCCCAGGTTTAATGCACATATGAATCTTTTTAAAAATACAATTCATGTAATACAAGCAGCAATGGTAACCTGCTAATATTCTTTTGGCCTGGTTGCTTTTGCACAAAAGATAAACATGCTGCCTGACTGAGGACCCACCAATCTCTATGTGACCCTAAACAAAGTCACCTTCTCCTGAACTTCAAGCAGCAGCTCTCTTTTCTGGCGCCTTTCCAAATAGGTGGTGTCTTCAGAATCTCACATCTTCCAAAGCCAAGACCTATTAAAGCCTGAGTTAATTTATCAGGAATCTCAGCTTCGAGGCAATTACTAGTCTGTTGCTGTTACGTTGCTAACTGGAGAAGTGGCAGAAAAAAATCTCTAAGCTGGGAAGGTCCTAAGTGACCAAGGGCTTTATGGATAAAGGCTTCTGGGAGTACATAGTGCACTGGTTGGTGCAGGCAAAGTGGTATTCCTCCCATAGCAGCTTCCATAAGTTACTGATAGCTGTTGCTCCACAGGCACTACACTTGAACAGTGCAGTGCTGAATTGGTGCTAAATAAAGACACAAATGAAAAGAAATTAAGCCTGTAGTCATGAGAAAAGAAAGAAATTTGAGTTTGTCAATAGACTTGAGGAGGGAATGGAGTTAATGAAGTGGCTGCCGTTGATCTAGAAATTCAGTGGGACCCCTGGATTGCAGACCTGTGCTTGTTAAACACCCATCTTGTTGCCTTGGGGCCTTAATATAATGTTGTCTTATCTTCTGGTTGCTTCCTTACTGTTGCCAGCCTCACCTTGGCCTGTGCAGGATTAAACAATGTAAGCATTACTGTGGTTTGGTCAGTGAGATCCTTATGGTCCTGTTGTTTAGGGTATTTCAGTATTACCTAGTGGCATTAAATAGTGAGAACTGACTCGTTAATACGCATGTAGAGAGGTGGCATTCCCTGAAATTCCAGCTCCTATTAGACTGCTGGTAGTCATCTCCCTGGATTAAAATTGAGTCACAAAACACTTCCCAGAGAACATAATGGTATTCAAGATACTTACTTCAACTGTTTACTTCCCTAATGAAGCAGGTTTATTTGCATTACGTTTTAAGCAGCTTTTTCTGGGATTTTGAAGCTAGTTACAATCACAGGAGGTTCTCAGAGGGGATATTTATTCTACTAATTGCACCATTTCCCTTTTCCATTAACAACAAGTATATTCTACTCTTCATTGATGAGATTTGAGCAAAAGAATTCAAGATTATTGACCATCTGTTACTAGCACCTGCATTATAAAGGACCCCTAAGTATAAAAAGAAAATAGCTCAGTTTCTATTTGATTGTTTTAGTTGTGCTGTGTGAAGTTACTGTGTGTAACTTGTGAAATTTTGATAGAAGGCTTTGCTTTTGAACAGCTAATAGTAGTCTTACTGAGAAGAGCCTTCAGAATTTGTAGTTGACAGCGTATGCGTGGTCAGAAAATAGCTGTTAAAAACCAACCAAAACCAAACCAGTAATATTTCTGTTCTATTGAACAGGATAACAAGAAGATGAAGAAATCATTAGAAGAAGAACAAAGAGCTCGCAAGGACTTGGAGAAACTTGTTAGAAAAGTTCTAAAGAACATGAATGATCCATCTTGGGATGAAACCAACTTATAACTATTTTTTTCCCTTTTTCCTTCTTCCCTCCCTCCCCTTCCCCACTTTTCCTTTCTATTGAAAGACCAGTTGTAAAACTGAGCTGGGAAGCCTTCTGACATTAGTCAGTGTTGCATCAAGAGCACTACAAAACAGGATTTAACTGGATCTAGTGATTTCTTGCTCTGAACATACAGAAACAGTCAAGCCATTTATGGAAGCAGTCTGTACTTTTAAGTGTGGAGACCATGGATCCTGAACTCTACTAAACTTAATTTGTTTGCATCTAAATTACCTCATTTTGCAGAAAGTGCAGCACCTGACTAAAAGTCCATGTTTTTCAGTGGCTTTTTAATTAAATATATATTTTTCTTGTAAATATCTGTAATTTTGAATGCATATGTGATTGATGTATCAAGGCTGATGTGTTGGGGTTGGTTTTTTTTTTCTCTTGTTACTATAATGATCACAAGTGTCAGAAGTGATGGCAGTACTGTCTTACCTAAGAAAGGTCAGAGTTCTTTGTGGATAATTATGGACTTGTTCTAAATTACCCACTCATCACACATGCAAATTTAAACCCCTATTTTTCCTGTTGACCACTGTATTTAAATCCTTCACTGTTATTTATGTCTCTGCGTACATTTTTAAAGGGTTTACAGTTCTTTAAGAACAGTATTAAAATACAGAAAATTGTTTATTGACAGTAGAAACAATTTTTAACACAACTAATGGCCATGATCTATCGTTCACATACACTTGTTTGGCAGACTAATCTGTTGTGCTTTGGCCACCGAAAGACTGATGTACTTGCCTGCTTTTTATGACTGTGATTTTTAGGTGTTTATGTACTACATTTTCTATTGTCGTGCTTAAACATACAGCTGGCTGATAATTTAATAGATCATACAGTTTGTTAAAGTAAAAAAAAAATCAGTCTGATCCAGAATTTTGTGAATAAATTGTTGCTATTTATATTTTACAGTCACAACAATTAAATTGTAGCTAACCTTTGTGCATAAAACACAGGGGCTAGGCCAAACTTCGTTCAAAACTTTGGTTTTATACCACTATGTAAGACTCTCTGGAATTCCCAGACTGTGGAAGCAGTCATTCCTTTCCCATCCTGTTTTCTCAGCATGTTGCTGGTTTCTGTCCTACCAGGATTTAAATGGAAACAAATCTGGAAATAAGAATTTTTTTTAATCATATTGTAATTCATAATTTGCACTGCTGACAAATTTGAAAATACATAAATGAACATTTATTCCCTAGTCTGATAGGTGCAATTACTGCAATCCTTTCTTGCGTTTAAAATAGGAAATGCTACATCACTGCTTCCTTCGGAGCACTTAAAGTACTAATCCCATTAAAGCTCATCGTACGGTCATTGATTTTGGCAAATTTTGGATTAAACTCCAGATAGTGCAATTTTTTAAGGGGTTTTTCTTCAGCTGACAGCCCGAAGTGCAGGTATGGCACAGGCCTGAGTCGCACTTTTTGTCATCCTGAGTTTCTAGTGCCCTTTAACTCCTGTGAAGTTTAATGCTCAGACTTGAGCAAATGTTTGTATGAACTTTAATGAGTTGGAGCCAGGATGTTTAGGGTGGTAAGAATTGTCATGCACATTGTGAGTCTCATGAAAAATCTATTTTTAAAAGCTATCCACTTTTCTCAGCCAAGAACAGCTTTTTTTAAATAGGAAAGAATGTCAATGATTACATACTCGAGAAACAATTCTGTGGGAATGGATACTTAAGTATCTGAATAGATAATTAGTTTCCGATTTTAAAAGCTGAATATAGTCCTAGGTATTTTGTGTTCCCACAATTTAAAAATGTCCTCCTTTAATTCTGAAGGAGGAGACAAGGTAAGCAAACTAAAAATGTCTGCAGTGTTGGAGTTACGTATATTCACAGAACTTTAAATTTATGAAAATTCTTGATACCAAAATATTTTTTCTGTTGTTTGCACTTGCTAAAAGCTAAGTGATACTAAGCCTTGCAAATTCATGTCATCTTGTCTAAATTCAGATTTGGGAATACCAACCTAAGTTTTCTAAGACTTTTACTTTCTGACATTCAGCCTATTTTTCAAAGCGAATTCTAATTTTCAGTTGAGCATATGTGAAAGGAGATTCCAGAGGAAGACATACAAAAGGAAAACATTAATTTTAGCAGTATTTAGCAAATTTTAACTCAGGAACAGCTTCCGTCATCACAGTTTGTTTGACATTATATTCTGAAGAGTGGCGTTGCTGTGTAAATTTGCTGACTCTTAGTACCTGTGATCATTATGATTTCTGACAGTACCCCTATACTGACGTCTAATGAACATGCCTTAAACACTGGGATTAAGCAGTTGTTGAATATGACCAGGATTTAGGGACTGATTTTATTCAAGGATTGGGATGGACTTGATTGGGACTGGGATGACTAATATTTACCAAAAAGTAAAGGAAAAAGGAAAACCATCTAATCCTGTAGGTAATTTTTGCCTCTAGCGCAGAGACCGAGCTTCAGGCTTTTGGGAACCAAGGAGTATCTGGACTGTTTTCTTGGACAATTTGTTATACTGTATATAGATTGTAAATTTCACCATGGACCTTCTGAATTGTTGGAAACTCTATATAAGCATGGATAAATGGGGCACTGTTTATTTAACCTATTAAAGGGTTATTTCTTTGCTCTCATCATTTAGGGATGAGGAGATGAAGCCATTTCTTATCCTATAGATGTGAAGCACTTTCAGTTCTGAACTGTCTAAAATGTAGCATAACATTTCTCTGTACTTACTGATGTATGTGTCGTGTTTGTCTCACCGTGTCATGACATCTGAAAGACTGAACAACTGACTGCCTTTGTACAAACCTTCTTAATGCCAATCATTTAGGGAATTTTAGAGTGTCTGTTTACGGTATTTGTGGAGAGCTCAAGTTTAGGTTAGATGTCACAGTAATATCCTGGTATCGACTACTAAAGTGTTTATGCTACATTGTTGTAATTAAACAGTGATTTTTTTCCCTATCCTATGAAGTGTTATATGTCATCTAATATGTGGGCTATGAGGTTAAGAAGGAAAATTGCTTTCTTTTTTTTTCTTTTTTCTTTTTTCTTTTTTTTTTTTTTTTATTTTTTCCCTTTCATACTGATAACCTCTGTTACACTATCTTGAAAGGGCTTTTTCATAGTCTTTTGTAATAGCCAAATGATGCCCAGAAAACAAAACAAAGTAAGGGTTTCGAGAGGTGAGAAGGAGGATCTAGACTGTCTTGTACTGAGGAATTTTCACTTCCATTTGGCAACCTGACCGGCTAGGGTAATGCGAGACATGGAGGAGATCAAAGTCAGAAGACAATGAAAGCAAGAAAATCAAACAGCTGCATAAATCAAGTAAAATACTTCTCCACATGCATGATTTATCTGAACAGACCTGAAGTTTGTGATGTGTGTATCATAGGTGCTATGACAGCTGCCCTGGGGAGCCAGTTCCAGTAACTGACCACCTTCTTGGTGAAGAACAATGCCCTGTCCGATGTTATACATAGGCCTGATGAGATTCCCCAAACTATTTTTTTTCTTAGTCAGGGTGTCGTCAGGTTTTGTTCGACGTGTCTTGCCTGTCAAGCAGCCTCTGTTTGCTGTAGACATAGATGAGCAATACAGAAGTAGCATGTTTTTACAGTATTTTTCCAGCAGGGGACTGTGTTAGCTGCTGCTTTGTTAGAAACTACTCACAGTTTTCCTGAATTTGTTAATATTTTACTTTTGTTGGCTTTTATAACCAGCTGTAGTTGGCTTTTTGTGTATTTCGGGGCTGCTTTTCAAGCTCCAGGAAATACAGTCTAACTTTTTGTCCTGTTGAGCAAATAGTCACATTTGAAAGTGCTCACACAGCATTTGCCCTAGCCACATGTATGGGATTTGTTACGGGGCATTTTTACCACTTCCCTGTGTCTCGAGTGTCTTGCAGTGCCTGTACATTTATCATCACAAGGACTCTTTCAGCACAGTGCAACGCAGAGGTAACAAGGGATCAGGTTTATTGTGAAGTGAAACTAAGCAAGGACTTGGCTTTAGTGATCACTAGCTCATTTAATCTCAGGCCTTAGTCTAAGGCAGAGAATTGCAGAGGAACTTGAGAAACATCACTGTGACAGGACCAGTCTTAAAAGTTCCCACAAGAAGTCTTCATTCTGAGATGGAGTTGAGAAAGCACTAGGATGGTGCAATGCATGTTCCATCCACTGCACTCTTTCAATACTATCAACTTTAACAAACAAGATTTCTGCTGGAGATTTAAGATACAGGGCTGTTTTTTCTGTGCTGGGAAGGGGAGAGAGCGACATGCTCTTTCCTGGTGGCAGAGAGGGAGTGTGGTGGCAACCTTGGACTTGAAGCTAAGCATTTGAAAATACAAGTTCAGGAAAGTGACCCTGCTTTTTTGTTCCGTGATAGCAGCAATGCAAAGATGGTCTGCGAGACAGCCAGCAGGTACATGGAGCCACATCTGAACACTGAGCCAGAAATCATTCTGAAGATCCGGTGGCCAGGGCAGGGTCACTGTCCTGCACCTGTACTGACCAACACCCCCAGGCCCTTTTCTGCTGGGCAGCTTTCCAACCACTCTTCCCCAAGCTTGTAGCATTGCATGGGGTTGTTGTGACCCAAGTGCCAAGGACCATTGTCCTTGTCATTGTTTGGGTCCGCTTGCAGAGCCTCATACCTGTTGTACAAAGGCAGTAGGAAGGTGAGGCAGGCATAAAGAAGGTGCACCTGCTGTGCATTATCCCACTGCTGCAGTGAGTCTTGTAACAGATGGATTACAGGATACAATGGGCTTTTGTGCACATTTAATATTAGTGTAAAGGGTTATCCAACTCCTATCCTATAGTGTCGGTTAGGGACCACTACCTATCTGGAGGAGTAGGTAGGTTACTTGAGGGGAAAAAACCAAAGAACACATTCCATCTTGCACCTCACTTGCTCAATCTAGAGGGAGAGCTGGAGGTGAGCTTTATC